TACACTCCAGAAACATGGAAAAGGCCAGGCAAAGGAGGCAGTTATGCCAGATTAGAGCTCTTCTATACAATTAAATGCTTGTATTTCAGTGATTCCATGTTGAAGGACATTCTTTCAAGCTAGCTCTGCCACTCATAAACCGAGAACAATTCAGCTGAAATAAGTGCAATTAAAGCTGGGTAAGGCAGAGTAATCAAGGCCGTTTCACTATCTTAAAATTCAATTGAATATTCTGAAAGTGGAAATTATACACAGTGCTGTTGAAGACTGGCATTTATCTTTCCAGTATTAATATAGTATCTGCCATTTTAATGAAAATAATTAAAATATATTTTCCTATGGAAATACCTTTCTATAAGTTCAAGCAAGTTTGTTTTCAGAGCATGAGTCTTTTTCAGAAACAGCAACAATTGCAAATTGATTTTTAAAGGCATTACAAAAGAAAAATTAAGCCTTTGGGAAGTACACCACCATCAATACTATGTTCATCCTAGAACAGTAGGAAACTCAGCAGTTTGATTGAATTATGCCTTTTGTTTTTAATCTTCAACAGCTTCCAGGTGGTTCACTTATTTTTAACCCACTCCAGCAGCAGCTGTCACAGTTTTCTCCACAGCAACAATGTCAGCAGCCTACAACCTGTTGTCCTCAGCAACAGGGAGAACAGGTGTGTGCCAACAGCCCTCAGTCTGGGGTGCTTGGATGAAACAGTTTCTCCTATTCTCCCCATCTCTACAAGTAAATGAGCCATTACCTCATAGATCTGAAGCAGAGGGGGAGGCAATTCTTCCTCCTAAACATTCTCAAACAGCAAAGAGTGCAGTGGCTCTATTGCTATGGCTGGAGCTGGGTTATATTTATTTATATCCTGTATAGAAAAGCTCTAACAATGCTGAGCATTGTCTAACTCTGTCATGAAGAGAGCCAGCCCCACTGTATGAGTGGTGTAAAACCAGCTTAGTGCTTTGTTTGTCATAACTAAAAGATGTATCAGATGAACAGAGAAAAAATGCAGTCAGGATATTACAGAGTAACAAAAACTTGTTACTGACACTGCTGTGAGTTTCCTTACGAACCTCACTGCTGTAGTTCAGAATTTTCTTTGCACCAAAGGAAATACTGGTTGTCTTTAAAGCTGTAATCTTAAGACATTTGCCTGTAATTAGTGTTAAAGGCTTTAATCACTGAGGAAATCTAAAGTCTTGATAGGCATTGCTCTGTCTTCAAATGACAAATTTTGAATGATCAGTTGCACCTTAAAAATCCTAAGGTGCAAGTACCAGGTTACAACTTAAAAATCCTAACCAATGCAGCAGTGTGAGAAAACTAGCTGCTCTGCTTTTGTGTTCTCAGACACACAGGCCTTCTGCTTACCAAATACTCTCTACTGGATACTCAAGTATGCCATAATTTCACATGTGATACTGTAGACTGTTCATAAATAAGATGCTTCTCTGAAATTTTTTATGATATATAAAAAATATCTATCTAGCCTCCTGTGCCACAGGCCTTGTTCTGGATTGTGGGACAGTTTAATGGGAAACTTTACAATTTGTTCACAGCATCTGAATCTCTGAATGTCAGTTAGTAGTTGAACTACTAAAAAAAAAAATAATGTGACCTTGTACTGTTGGGTTTTATTTTCTAGATATTGAACATCAAGGGCATTTATAAAAAGGCTGACATAAGCATAGTTCTTGTGGCAGGAAGTTCTGGAGAAAATCAGTCTCTGCATTGGTTAAACTGCCCTAAGGAACTTCTCTCATACCTTGCATTATAGAGGAGGGGGTTGTTGGCTAAAATGAGATATGAACATTAGATTCCTTAGCTTTGATAAGGACAGGAATGTATGTGCTCACAGTGCTTAGTGAAAAAACCTGGGCCCAAAAAACAACAATTTTCTGTGCTACCCATATAATATAAAAATGCATTCTCTCTCATACTTAGGGATTTTCCCCACATGGTGGTTCTATGACTCTTAGTCATCATGGAGGTGATGATGTCTCGACGTGCAATCTTTTGGTCTGGTTTTCCTAGATCTTAGTAGCAGTATAATGTAATGCTAAAGAAGCATTGCAACTCCTGGACTGAACCAGCTTTTTTCTGACTTATAAGCCATGCAGTTTTCTTGAATTGTGCTTTCTCTGTGTTATAAATCAGTGCATAATTTAAGTTCTAAAAGAGGTCATAATTTAGCACCCTTTGAGTTCAGGAGACACTTGGTCAGACTCCACTAATTCATTTAAAGTGATTACTGTGTTCTGAAAATATAATTTTAAAACCAGGGTCTATATTTTTATGAAATTAAGGAGTGTGTGGCACAATATGAACATGGGAATGTGTCAGCCTTTGTACATCTTGATTGATTAGGACCTTTGCACATGGATATCTTAGAGTCTCCTGAAGACTTTGGGGCTGGGAGTGGGACAGGAAATTGTCCTAAGATTACAACCATTAAGTGTTAGTCTCTGCTTGACTGCAGGGAAATTGACAACTACATGGAATTCTGCTGGGTAACAGTAGCAATACCACTTCTGTCAAAACAAAGCAGTTCTGCGGTACTCAGTGTCTGTCCTACTGTTAGTGACTACCCTGTAGCCTGTATCTGCACGCACTGGATGACGTAGCATTAAATGTTTTTAATGGCACTTCAGAAGTTTGCCTTCACACTGGCTTTATTTGCTTATTCATTGATATGAAAGTTTGGTAATAAGGATCAAGCTTTTCATTTTTGCTAGGGGTCTGACCAAGGTCCATCCAATCAAGATCAGGCATTATCTGCCCAACAAGCTGCTGTAATTAACCTGACTGGAGTAGGGAATTTTATGCAACCTCAAGCCACAGGTATGTGCTTGCTGAGCCTCCTTTTGTAGCAAAGTGTTTATGTTGATAAATTCACACTGAAATGAAGTTTGGTCTTAAGGAAGTATTACATTAGATCAGAATGATTCACTGTTTATTATCGGGACATGAATTCTATGAGAAATATTTGACTTCTAAAGTATGCACTTCTCTGCTTTATTTGGCAGTTAAGTGCCATCAATTGATAGTATCACATGAAAACAAGTTACAGTTAAAACGAAAATGCAGGGAACTTCATGCCAGACTTCATTAAGGAATGTTTCTTTAACTCTGTGCTTAACTCCCAGTGTGAGAAACCTTTGTGTCTCCACAAGCACTTCATAATCTAATTATGTTCTAACTAACAGAGTATGTATATCATGTATACTTTATTCTGCACTGTTCCAAATTTGACTCTGAAACTAATTCTATTGATCACCCTTTTTCTGTTACAATGTATTCCTATGTCTTCCTCCCCTGACCAAGTCAACCTGACCTCTTTGACCTGCCTGCTTTCCCCTTCTCCTTTCTCAGTGTTGTCTCAGCTTGGCTCTGCCGTGAACAGACCTGGGCAAAGCCTTCCTCAGCAGAGACTCCAGCTCTCTTCTGCCCTGCAACAGCAACAACAAGCCTTGCAGCAGCAGCAGCAACAGATACAAGTAATCCAGCAACTTCACTCTGACTGTGTTTAAAAAAAAATTAAATTAAAAATATAATTCTTGGCTCCAAAATAAAAAATATTGCCCTCTTGGGCTCTCTTTTTAACTAACACAGTTATGGTCTCACAAATTGAAGGAAAAGAAAACCAACAAAGCCAACATGTATTTGGCAAACTATATTGCAAAACCCAAAATCTGTGATTCTCTCAGCTTGGAGCACTGAATTTATTTTTATTTGTTTAAGCCCTCCACCTTCCTGATTTGCAAACATTCAAGGGGTGCTTGTGGCACATGTCTAAATACTATACCAGGTGCCAATAGATTTCAAAATGTAAGCACCTGGAAGTTCAAACGTAGCAATGCTACAGTAAGTACATGAAAGCAAGAGCTCTGCAAAGCATTCCTTTACCATTCAGATGCTTCATGAAAACATTTTAGCATTTTTTTAGCACACAGTCTCATGTTTGTAATATATACGGAAAATTCATACAATGCGTACACTGAGAAGGTATCACATTAAAAAGGTACTGTGTAACCCAAACACTCAGTGAAGTTGCTGAGTTACTGCAGTTACTGCAATGAAGAGAAAGGGCAAAGAAACACAGCTGTGCACATTCACATGTAAAATGTTAGCTTGTGCCCTCAGCAGGCTTCTGTGCCACTGGTGCTGCTTGACTGTACCCATTGCCCTGGTATATGGTGTGTTCCTTTGTCAACCTCCTGGTGCTTCCTCATTTTTTCTTTCTCTCCCCTCCCTTCATTCTTCTGATGTGAAAGCTTTATAGTCAACACTAACAAGCTTTTTCTCCCTTCTCCTCCATGGCAGCAGTTGCGATTCTTGCAGCATCAAATGGTTATGGCAGCGGCAGCAGCACAAGCAGCTCACCTGCATCAACAGCATTCAGGCAGCCACTCAAAAAGTAAAAGGAAAAGAGGCACACCAGCCCCTCCAAAATCATGAGACTTGCCTCTCCCCCAAAAATAAATTGATTTGAAGGGGATTTTTTTTCCAGATTGTTAAAGAAAAGGCTTAAAATAAAATTAGTGTTTTATATTACTGGTGGGAAAGTGAACTTTTAACATTACACTAAAAGAAGTGAACTGATTTTGGAAGCCAACCTTACAGAACTTAGAAATTTCATCTATAAAGTGGCTAGGATCTGGTTTCCTCTAGTCACTTAATTTTTTAACAGAATGTTTTATCTTGTATTTTTTACCACTCAGCAACATTGTACATAGAATAAGGGTGAAAAACATTTTAGAAAAAATTAACTTTGTAAATGTAGTATTGGTATTTGTTTATTTAGTATAAAAGGTTTGTGAACACTGTAACAAATACAATTTTTACAAATCCATTTTTGAAAAGAGCTCTTTTTGTTCACTTGGGTGTTATACTTTTTATTACTTTGTCTATCAGCTTCTTTACTTCTTTGTGTCTTGTAATTGCTCTGGTGATACAGTCCTGAAGCTTGGCTCCTGTAAGAGGACTTCCACCTAAACATTGAAGAGAACAATTTGATTTTCTACTTATACTTCAGTTATTTATCTAACTGTGATTTCCAAATGGGAGTATTAATACAGTAATTGTCATTACCAGCACCTTTCAGTGGGGAGCATACAGCTTTCCCAACCCTAGCTTCAGGCAAAGATAATGGAAACAAACAAGAGCTGTAACAGGAGACATGCTCAGAATTAATCCTCTGCTGTGACTGCTTTTTGAACTTTAGCATGCCACCCACCATCTTAAAACTCTTTCAAGACCAGGTAATTTTATGACTATTTAAGCAGACACTCTGTTACCACAAAGCACATGTATCTCACAAGGCAAAGCAGGTACAGAATCTTTGCTTGACCTAATACCATCATCTCCCATAGGTTTCTTTGTCGTAAATTTAGAAGTACCTGGTTTATGGACAGAACACAGCCTGCCTTCTTCATCAGTTACAATGGTTACTGTTCCAGTTGCTAAATCTTCTTCTTCAGCAGTTGGATCAACAATGAGTAGCGTGCTTGTGAAAGAAATGCATGCAGATATGTTGGTATACATTGCTCCATTAATATTATTGCAAAATACAGTTTTTACTGTAGTCTTACAAAATACTTGTAGATGGATTTAGTGCTCAAGCTTATATGTTTTCCTACCAAAATGCACCAATTAAAAAAAAAAAAAAGAAGCCAAAAAATGTGGGAGATTCTACATAATCATGTGTTTGTGACTGTGGAAAATAGCATATAAGTAGTTTCATAATTTGTGACAGTGATGTATTGCAGGAAAATGCCACTAAATTGCCATCTGCTGTAGGCAATATGAAAGATTGTAGTCATTATTTTGTAGTTACTCTGAAGACTGGCATTGGTTTTACATGTAGGCTGCACTAATTTGTACCAGACACCTTAAAGCAAAACTGATTTCCACTGGCAAGTTCACCAAAGTAGTTCTCAATTTGTTGTCAGTGAACTCAAACATCACTCAGACTGGGAATAGTTCAAAACCAGGTTCATTGGACTGCTTAAGACAGTTTATTCTGGCTGTCATACTGTCACATGAGCAGTTCAATGCATGGCTGTGTTGATGTACAGGTCGCTGCCACAGGAGCAGCCAGTGCTGGTGCCACTGCACCAGTGCTCCTCAGCCATGGCCATGCTAACCAGCAACCTACCACTTCCATTTATTCAAGGAGGCCTTTTATGCAGAAGAAAAATGCCTCTGGAAGCCAGAGTATGTAAAGCATTTTATTGAAAGGGCTATTAACCAGAGTTTTTTAAAAAATAAAACAAACAAACAAAAAAAACAAACCACAAAAAAACCCCACGCAAACCACACAACACAAGCAGACACCCCCTCAATACTTAGTTTTAGGAGCTAAAATTTGATGCAACAGTTGGTTTCAGGGAAGGAAACAAAGCCCAATAGACACTCATGGAAAGCCTTCTTCCCCAGGCAGCTTTTTTGGTCTATGTGAAGTATGTATGGTTTGTGTAAATAATACCCTACTGACAGCTGTCTGCCTAGTATGTTACTCAAACGCTCAGTGTACATCAAACTTCAGACCCAGAAAAATGGTATTAAAGCAATTAACAGAAGCATTCTAAAGTACCAATAATGTACTTTATTGTACATTACTGCACAATTTATTGTACTTTATTGTATGCACTCTGGTGCATTTTTGTAATCACTTGGTCAACATTTGCGATAATTGCTCTCCCCACCCTATTTGTTATTTGTATGAAAGGCCCCTACTTATAATTTCTGTGAATACATATTAATGTGCCATAACCCCCCAACAGCTCCAAACAGGCCTAAATCTTGAGTAGCACAGTGAGCACTATCCTGTCACTTTCTACAGCAAATGGATGTCACCAGAAATGACTGCACTTCTTATAAACAGCAGCAGAACATATTCTTAATATTTTTGACCTAAGGAAGAACCAGTAGACAATTTCAGATGAGGAGTCAAGTCATCAGATGTGATTACTTTGAATTCTCATAATCAGATTCTCTTCCTACATGAACAATGATTTAAGTATGCTGGTTACACTTCACCTTGGGTAATTATTTTTTCAGTTATCCAAAGGTTCTATTGTTCTAACTGGACTGTTACTTCTTACTTTCTTTGTTGACTACATCTTTGGAATAAGATGTTCAAAAACTACCATCTTTTCTATCAGCTACTTACACAGACTTCTAAAACATTAATTGCACTGGTAATGTTTTTATCCTAAGATACTTCTAAAACCTAAAACAGTACTCATCTGTGTTAAGCTTATCTTTTAGGCTGGGAACCACTCCTGCTTTAAGCCATAGAAAGAAGCTGCAGAGTACAGACTGCACTTCATTCTGTGCACTCCTTGCATCACAGAACTAGAGGCCCCTTTAGTAAGACAGGCGGTGAATTTAAGATGAGTGGAGCAGCATTGCCTGAGGCTCCACTCTCATCCCTGGCAAAAGTGCAGAAACATCACCGGTGGCATCCTCTGTCTTTCATTTGTTTTACAGACACTGTTGTTTGCATAAAGTACAAAACAGTTTGGAACTTACTCATCAAATATAGCAAATGATGTGGCAACTGGATGCTTTCTGATAATCAAAGGATTCTTCTGTTTTAAATTAACTTCTGATAAACCAGTTTCTTCATTTATCGTAACCGATGGCAATTGCACTGAAGAGATAAAAAAATTACAATGGTCTAATATTAAACATGCTGGGTTTAGCAGACCCAGAGATGTTGACAACTACTGAAATATTTAAGCTGTTCTCTTAATCCACTGAAAATCAATCAGTATAGTTCTTCCTACATTAATGGTACTCTCTAAAAAAAAAAAATCTTGAATTCAAGGAAAGTATTTATCTTAGAACTACCTGTTCAAGGAAGCATTTCATTCTTGTACTCAGGGTAACAGAAGCTTTTCTCTTTACACAGAAATATTTTCTACTTCCAAAATGCCACACAATTAAAATACTTTAGTCATATTTAACCAAAGGTATTTTTTCCCCAAGTCTACTGGACAAATAAAAATTAGTAATATAGTCTCATGTCATGAATTTTATATATCTGTAGAAACAGTGCAACCTGACCTTCAGCTAACTCTTGCTGTGACAACCAATACATTGCTGGTGACAAGGAGGACAAGAGCAAAGTAGCTAGGAGAATTCCAAGGCTGGCAATTCAGTTAGAAAGAAAGGCCTTGCCATAAGCTTCCGTTTAAACTGCTGCCTTCATGCATTTATAAGCCACACACCTTCAGTCAGGCCACACATTTTTTTACACACTGTAATTCATTAAGCTAGGAAAGGAATGTTCTGTTGTGACAATGTACTTGTGTAAGCAAAGCCTCCAATAGCTCATCTTGCTTACACAAAACACATTATCAAAGTAATATCCTGATACAGATGTTAAACTCTTTCATGGCCACTGCTAAAAGACTCGAGTATCTGACACCAAAGAACATGTGGCAGGATAGCTGCTGGCCTCATAAGAAAGCAATAAGTATACAAAAAAGATCCTATTTTTCAGGTGTTACACACCTACACCATCCCACCATAATTTCCACCTTGTATTTGCATTCAAATGACAGGAAACAAATGGTCCCATGAATTAGTTACCCACGTATTACGGTTCAAAATGAATGCATTTATCCAAGCAACACTAATCAGAATGTCTCTTGTTCTGAGGAAGCCTTACCATTTTTTAATGCTGCCAACAAAGCAAAGACACTGGCATCCAGAAGGTTTCCATCATAATCCAGACATATGATATCACAGTATAACACCCACGCAAGCTATCAAAAAAGGTTTGCACATGTGAGATATTCCATCAGCTAAATAAATGGTGCAATATATAAGAAAATCCTGGCCACACTAAATACAGATACTTATTTCTATCATTTGATTTTTGCATTTAGGATGTAAATTAAACTATGAGGACTGAAAAGCAAAAACAACACTAGAATCTGCTACAACCTCAGATACTTTCTGTATCTGTACTTGTGTACAGGTCCTGTGATCTTGTTACCATCTCCCTCTTCATTCTGAGATAGAACTTACCTTGCCATTGGCAATACACAGATCTTCTTTCACTATCATCTGTGAACTAAAATAAAATAAGAGTAAGCAAGGCAATAGAAAACTCTTGCAGAATTGCTTGTATTTTAACAGCACTGAGATGGTTCTTACTTTTCAATCACATCTGCAATGAACTGGCTTGCTGCTTGAGCCTCTTCACCAGGTGGTCCAGAGCGAAACCTCTCAGCACAGAGGGATGGCAGCTCGACATTCGGAACTAGGTAGCAAGAATCATGAGTCATAAATCAAAGAAAGCAGGCAATGGATAATAAAAAAAAACAAAAAAAAACGCTCTTAATACAATTTTATGTACTTCAAATGAAAGGCAAGACCAAGAATTTTTCAATCAAGCCTTCCTAATTCTCCTCTCAAAAATAAAGTTATGCATGAGTTTGTATTAAAGAACTTGTAGTACTCTCTGTACTCAAAAACTATATATTACATGGACAAGCACATACTCCTAGCTACCACTCTCTGTTTATAATCCTTCTCTATCATGACCCACAAACACTCCTTAGCACTTTTCAGCAGACCAAGAAACAGCAGCATTTCCATCCCACTGCCTGACTTTACTGGTATGCTGTCTGCTTTCCATCAACCATTAAAACCTGAGGCTTTAGACTTGAAGAAAAACATGCATAAACATTCATGAAAAGAACCTAAGAATAGTCAAGCTTACTGAAAACAACATACTTATGAGATGCCTTAGAAAAAGGGCATTTTGTCTAAGCTCTCAATTCCCCAGAATTATTTTATTTCCAAAGAAACTCCAAATGGGAGTGAGGAGGTACCACTGGGACATACAGTTCTCTGAGAAATAAACAGTTTTTATTTCACTGTTCTTAACAGTTACATTTTTTGCCTACTGGGACTTTGAAACAGAAGTTATCATGCCTTTGCACAACCTTGCATGCCACTATCTTTTATAGAGTATCTTCTCTCTCTTAATATACACAATGATGCAGGTTTCCTTCCATGCCCAGCCTGGAAAGAGCAACAAAAAGGTAGCTGTATAAGGAAAAATCACAGGCAAAGCAAAGGGAATTCTAGATGCCTAGATGTCAATTTTGAAATTAATTTGAAGGGTTGTAATAAAATTTGATCAAAATTAATTATTTTAAGAAATCTACAGAACATAATTTCCATAACCTTTTAGCTGAAGTAATACAAAACCTCAGATCCATACTGAAACACTACACTTACCAATATATCCCTTATTAGCAGAATCCGCTGCAGGTGCAGCAAGTTCCTGGAAAAATCGAAAAGAGAAAAATGAAGACTTTTGTACAAAATATTTTCCAGCTGTTCTATATACAAATGGTTGTTTTCTTCCCAGTTATCATAACAATGAGATTTACAGAAGTAATTTTTAATCAGTCCTTGTCTGTAAATTTCCTATGGAAGAACTCAATACTGGAATGAGCAGTCATTTGTCATTGTAGGTCATGGCAGGCCAGCGGTAGAGTTGAGGCCACAAGGCGTTCAATAGTCCAGCCAGCTCATTCCCAATGCACATACTGATACATGTTCAGGAACTTTCCAATTATAGAGCTTTTATCTAGAAATAACAAGGTCTTATTTCAGCTTTGTACACATCTTTCCCTATACACGATGAGCATCACAAAAATACATGTTCTGAGAGTATACAGGTAGGATTATACAACTACAATATACATTAACTTTCAGGTCTGGAAGTAATTCAGGTGAAATACTGTAATTGCATCGGACCGGCACGTTATTGTAACTCCAAGGGCAATTAATTCCAAACACAAATGCACGAAGACAGCTAACAGATAAATAAAGATAAAAACCAACCATACCGCTTTTACTCCGCAAATCACTGTGGTATTTCCTAACTTCACCAGGGCAGAACCATCTGCAGTTGTAATTGAACCTGAAGAGAAAAAGTACTGTTCAGTAAAGTCTATTTTCCCTTCAAAGGGTGCCAAATAACATCCAATCTTCACTAAATGTTTACCTTCCATTATTTTATACTAAACACAGCCTAAGCAAAGTCTTGAATCCAGAGTGAGAATCTCTGTATTAAACAGTCAATCACACAGAATGGTTGAGGTTCTCCAGCCTGCTGAGGCCCCTCTGGATGGCAGCACAACCCTCTAGCATATCAGCCACTCCCAGTTTGGTGTCACCTGCAAACTTGTGAGGGCACCTAAACTGTGCTGCACATACAGGTGCAGAATTGACTAATTACACTGTGCACGTCAGCCCAGGAACAGGACTGGATATTCAAGGATATTATTGTACCACATACTCTTTTTCATCCTTATTGAAACTGTAAAGAAAAATCCTTCCTCTTCCTGGTTTAGAAATGCAAGAACCAAGAAAACAAATTAGCAAGTCATTAAGATCACCACTATAACCTGATATTAATAACACCTCCCCCATTTTGATTATTCCACATAAGCACTTGCCTATGTTGACAGTGGTTGTCCGAAATTCACCTAGCTCTCTTCCATCAGGCCGACAGTTCTCCTTCTAAAGAAAAATTACAGACTTCAAATTAGAAAGCATATTTTATCAAATAACACAATAATATTTTTGCTACGGAACTTCATAAAAAATTAAGTTGTCTTCTCAAAAATGCTAGGGAAAACTCAGTCATACTTTAGCTGGTTTTTCATCAACTGATACATAGTTTGCGGTTGTACACCTGCAAAAGAAAACCCCTGATTTTTAAAATTAATTTAAATTTATTTAGACAATACAACAACAGACTGATTGTCTAAAGGGTAGGTACTACAGGAGGCTAGATTCAGAACATCATCCAAGAATGAACACACACTGGTAAACTTAAAATGAAAGTTTCTACCTGTCTGCATTGTTTAGTGGAGCTCTTAAAATTAGAGTGAACTAAAGAAAACTAGAAAAAAACCCTGCACCCAAAGAAAATCCAGCATTCAAACACCATCAGCCAGAAGCTGTACAGCACATAACCTTTATGTTAGAAACTGAAACAATATTCCATCATTTTAGATCTGAATTGTCACTCACAACAGTTTCAAGCTTTTCAAAAGCAAACACTTTTGGCTCAATTATGAGAACCAAAATTTGCAGTAACACCGGATCCATTTCTAAGTCAATACAACTTCAGTAATAGCTGAACTAATTTAAGGTAACAAAAGTCAGTGGTTTTCCTCTGCAATTACGTTTATTGCTGCATGGTTAGCAGTAATAGTATCTGTTACTAATTTTTGTAGCATCTAAAAGCCTGGTTTGACATAATTTTGTACTAGGCAAAAACCTGCATTACCATCTTGGTCAAATTAAACTGAACTCCTCTCAAGACCAAAAGAAGCATTTACCCACCAAGTTGAAAAGCATCAACACCATAGACGGAAAGAAAAACACGTTCTGAAGAGCACAAATGTTTTTTGCCTGCTCAGACAGTTTTTTGGGTTTATTTTTTTCAGTTTCCATTTCCATAGCTTTAGATTTCCATACAGACAAGTTAGAAGAGTAGAAGCAAGCAAGAAAAAATTCACTACAAGGAATTTATACAAGGAATTTATACATGTTTCACTCACCAAAAACCTCCTGTAATATTCCAATGGTTCCACAGTTCTAGAACAAATAGAAAGAGAACTTCAAATGTAAGCTCCTGAGTAAGCAAGACACAGAAAAAAAAAAAAATCTGGAAATCAAGATGCTTGACAAAGCTGCTTACCTATATAGTTAAAGAACAATGAGGAAATTTAAAAAAAAAAATGTTTTCCTAAGTTCAGTTCCAAAATGTTCCTTCCATATAAGGAAACTGCCTGTACATACACTTAACAAAAACTGCTAGCTTTCACTTCAGTAATCCTATTAGCTCTAATCAAAAGAAGTGTTTAGTGACAGACAAGTCACTAAACACTTTGCCTTTCAAGGAATGCAAAAAGGAAAATTTTACTACAATGTGTGAAATATCTGTAAGTCCAAGGACTGCATTCAGATGCAGAAAATTGTATAAAATTTTTTAATTATTCAGTTTTTCTTAGAATCTTTAACAAAATACAAAATATGCTTCATGCAGTGCTTCAGATGAGAAATAATTGATGCTTATTAATAATCATACACTAGTAACAGTACTTATGTATTAGTATTTTATGCAGGGATCATTAAGGTAAAAAAAAAAAGCTTTTATAAAAAATGTTGCCAATATTTAAACAAAGGATTCAGAGTTTTGTTAAAACAGTGCTTCTGGGACAGGGGTGGAAAAAAAGTAAGTGGAATAGGCAAGTTTTCCAAATGCAAACTAACATACACAGGCATCACGAACATAATGGCCAGCATGAACTGGCTCCTGCTGGCTCCACATATGTTGGTCCTGTACCACTGGATTATAAACCACAACACAAGGTCTGCTGTCTTACAGTTCAGGTAACAGCACTTGCTAAACCTGGTTTGATGCTTTTAAGCCATACAACAGAATCAAGGATGCTGGGACAGACTACCCAGAGAAGCTGTGGATGCCCCGTGCCTGGAAGTGTTCAAGGCCAGGCTGGATGGGGCTCTAGCAAAAGGTGTCCCTGCCAACGGCAGAGGGATTCGAACTGGATGATCTGGGAAAATCCCCTCTGACCCAAACCATTTTACTATTCTAGAACGAATAGTTATAAATGGGAAGTCATTTAATTCCCTACCGTGTTAACTTCCTTATAATTCTACCAGCTGTGTAAGGGGAGGTTTAGGTCGGACAGTAGGAAAACATTTGTCACCGAGAGGGTGTCTGGGCACTGGACCTGGAACTTGCCCAGGGCAGAGGTCACAGCACCAAAACTGCCGGAGACCGAGAAGCGCTTGGATAACGCTCTCAGGCACACGGTGACTCCTGGGGGTCCCGCACAGGGACAGGAGCTGGACCCGCCGATCTCTAAGGATCCACCTCGGTGCACGCTGCAATTCTGCTACCAGGCAGCTCCGGGCCTCGCTGAGCTCCGCTCGGGCTTTTTGCCGGGTCTTTTCCTGGCTGGCCAAACCCCTCTCGCTCAGTTTATCCCGCAAGCGTCGGGGCTCCCGCGCCGCCCGCGGCACCGACACCGACCGCATGAGCCGAGCCCGCTCCCCGCGCGCGCGGCCAGGGCGGAGACCGGATAAAGCCCACGGGGGTCCCCGCGCGGCCGGGGCGGAGACCGGATAAAGCCCACAGAGGTCCCCGCGCGGCCGGGGCGGTGGGGACGCCGGGTGCGGCGGGACCCGCGGGGTGGGACCCGCGGGACCGCGGCCGCCGGGCCCAGCACTTACTTGAACGCTGCCGCCATGGCGGTGCCGTCTTCGCCCCGGATGTGGCGCCCCCTGGCGGCCCGCTCTCCCGGCAGCCTCCGCGGGAGGACCGGCGGCAGCGGCGGCGATGGGGGCGGCGGCGCTGCCGGGCGCTGACCGCCGGGGGGCGCCGGCGGCTCCCAGCGGGCGGCGCGGCCGCTTCCGCGTCGCTGTCGCGGCGCGCCGGGGCCCCGCGGCTGCCGCGGGCGATGGCGCTGCCGCCGCTCCCGTCCCTGCCCCTATCCCTGCCCGCAGCCGCGCTGGCGCTGGCGGCCCTCGCCGCTTTCCTCTTCGTCCTGGTGAGAGCCGCGCACGGGGGGCCCGGGGGGCTCCGTGGCGGGGGCGGTGCGCGAGGCCGCCCCGTGCCGCCCCCCGGTGCGGGGCAGCGCGGTGCGGTCCGGCCCTGCCCGGGGGTCCCGCGGTCCTGCCGCGCCCCGCAGGCCATAGGGCCGGCCGGACCGGGCGGCTGGAGCCGGCAGCGCTGCGCTTGTGCGGGTCGTTGTGCGGGGAATGTGCTTCGGCGAGGCGTGGGGTACTGTGCCTGGCAAAGGGGGCCAGGACGGAGCATTTCAGCCTTACCTTACGTCTTGGGAAATGTCCTGGTAACGCCTTCGCGTTAACCATTTGGGAAGTTGCTATGTTTCAGCGGCTCCTAAATGCCGTGCGAGATTAAGAAGGTCGAGCCCCTGGAAAGCGAAATTCTGTTGCCTGTCCACAGTGCCACGTATGCATCCTGCCCAGGGAGGTGGCGGAGGCACCGTCCCTGGTGGTGTTTAAGGAAAGACTAGACCTGGCACTGGTCTGATCGATACGGTGTTGTTGGGACATCGGTGATATCAGAGGTCTTTTTCAACCTAAGTTATTCTGTGTGTGGTATCGCCAAGTAAAAGTGCTACAGAACCCAAGTTCTACCACTTTTTTTATCCATGCATAAAGCAATCAGAGCCTTAGTGTTGCAAGCACACATGGCTGGCTGGTCACTGATTTCAGCCTTGCCATTGATTTCAGTGGCTTGGTGGGGGGGGCTGCTTATGTGCTCAAGGTTACTTGGGGAAGGAGCTCGGACCACAGCTTTGGAAGCACCCTGCATGCTTTGCAATTAAAAACAGCAACAAGCCAATGATGCTGACAGTGGTCAGAGTGGGAGTAACCAAATGGCATGAGAGAGTCTTGGTCCTGTGTGAAATTCCACAACAGTGACCCGCCTTATTACTGAAATATACTTAGTTGCCCCTGGTAGCACATTTAACAGCTAAATAAACTTCTAACAATGCTTGACAACTTTTTTCATTTCTTCTTCATCACAGATTTGTGTAATCGCTCATGTAACTGCCAAAACAATGCCGCACAAAGATGCTGAGTGCAGGAAAGGAGCTGCACCAAATATACATGATCCTGCTACAAGAGAACTCTCTGTCGTTGTGCCTTCATACAATGAGGAAAACCGGTGTAAGATTTTTCTAGTTTTGAGGAAAAGTAGAAAATCTGTCTGTTGTTACTGTAATAGTGCAGAGGTCAATTGGGTTAGCAGTAGATTCTGGCAGGCCAGATTATGATTCAGATTTTGGACACAGTTTCCAGAAAACAGTCCAAGTACATTGAATTTCAAAATTAAGGCATAGTGTAACTTGATTTCTACTGCTAAAAATAGCATGGAGCACTTGTAAGAATCCTCTTAATTTTAATGAACCCCAGAAGAATGGCTGTTCATTGCCCCTGCACATGCTGCAAGGCAAGAATGAGTAAAATACTTTTTAAATTGATTTGGAGCTTCCCACTCTTAAACAACTACAGCAGCTTCAGACAAGCAGAAAAAGGTATGATCTCATGGGTTTCGGTTTGACTTGGCCATAGATAGGAGTACCTGATACTGAGTGAAGGCTTTTAGATGTGATAGAAATAACCAAGCTCTAAAGCTGATGTGGCAGTACACAAGCTGACAGCTTGCTTAAATAGATAAAGTCAGTGGTGCTTTGCAGGGTCAGTCATAAAGAATGATTTTTTTTTTCCTTTAGCATTGTGTAGAGAATTACATACTTTAAAATTTAAAGTTGGTTCCTCAAAGTAAAAGTTTTTATGCTATCTTTTTATCATGTGTGTGATTTTCTTCAGTGTTCTTTCTGTATTCAGAAAGGACAGCACTTAAGAGTTGCAGCTGCTAAGCTTGTTAACTGAAGGTAGTGTTGTATGAAAGACTTGATTTGCTCAGCCTTGCTTTGTAGCTGTTTTCAGCTTGCTTGTGCAGGTGTTTTTGGTGTTGCAATCTACTAAGCTGATTTCCTCCACCTTTTCTCTAGTACCACTTATGATGGATGAAGCTTTGGATTATCTAGAAAAAAGACAGGTATTTTCTTTTTGCATTCAGAATTCATTGTTTTTCTTTATATTATGTATAACAAATTGGTGATCTAGTCACTTTGTTATATTAGTGTACATTAAAACAGTAGTACTTGGCCTCTTAGAAATAATGCTTCTGTCTCTTATCAGTTATTCTTAAATCAAGTGTCAGACAGAATTTTTAAATTAAGTAAAAATTTAATATGCTACTATAGGATGAAACAATCTTCATATGCTTGAAATCTGGCCATGCATTTAAGCTAAGGATTAACCATGCATTTAACTTTCTAAACTCTGTCCTGGTTTCTTCCAACAAGTTTCTTAAGCATCTGTTCTTCATTAGGATTTGTTCCCTGGGTAAGAAGCTAATTATAAAAGTTTGTGGATTTTGTTTTGTTTAGGTTTTCTTAAAAGTGATGTTTTTCTGAGCTTCCATCTTCTACTGCTAAGTTGATTTTTCAGTTCTAGATGGTAGCATGACAAGCCAATGTAACAGTACCTGCATCAAATATGGCAAAATTCTGTAGTTATGCCATCTTAACAAATTTACTGCATCATATTAGTATCTGTTGGCAACTATGAATGTCTGGTAGGGAGAAAATAATAATTATGTTTGAAAGACCTACTGCCTACTTAAGAAATTGTGTGAAATGCATTATTTCTGCTTTTATTTTCAAGAAACAAGATCCTTCATTCACTTATGAAGTGATAGTGGTTAATGATGGTAGTAAAGATCAAACTGCAAAGGTAAGAAAAAGTAATGTCTTCCCAAGCAATCAGAGGCATGACATTTTGTTTGGATTTTTGTATATTTGTGGAATATAATGGTGGTTTATATTTATATTTTGGTACTTGAAGCAGTTGACAATTGAAGTTCACATATCTGAATTATCTCTGTCATTGCATCATGGATGGCGCATATGCACATGAATGCACATATAATTCTTCTCCAAATTCTAGTTTTCTTGATTGGCAGCTGTGACAGCCATTTTCCTGCTGCTGAGGTTCTAAGAATTCTAATCCTAACTTCAAGAAGTTTCACTTGAAATACTCTACATGTGCATAGTGATGATGTGAATAGGAATTTGAGGAAGCTAAAAACTCTTTTAAAATGTCTCATTCATACTGTGATTGACAGAACAGGTGACAGAGTTCTTTCCCACACCCTTTTTGGGATTGTTAATTTAAAAAACCACGTGCTCATATTAGTATTTTCTGTAAAAAAAAAAATAGTTCTGTATTCTTCTGCTTCAACTTTGATCTATGTCACTGGCAAGGAAGGCTAGCCAGCTTGTGGGGTTTTTTTCCTACTACTTGGAAGATGTTTGACATAGACACTAAAATGTATATTGCTTTAAGAATTGCTGGTATATAATTTTGACTGCTGTGCATTCTTTCTACTATCTCTTTCAATTGAGCATACAATGGCTGCAGGCCTCTGGACTTAAAAGAACTCAAGACAACCTTTAGAAAAAATTAGGAGAAAACTCAAGCTTTCTCTTCCCCACAACATATACCAAAATGCTCAGATCCTTGCAGTGTGAATATGGTTTTAGATCAATATGAATTTTTCTTCAAAACCACAGATAGCAGCAAGACAAGTGAGAAATAGATGGCTGTCATGGAAAATTGTATTTCTTTTATGAACTACTGGTGTTAATAGAAAAGATCTGTAATAGTATGATACAAATTAAATTAAGATTGAGTTTCTTAGAGGTGGGAGGATGGGGGTTGAAATTGCTTAGGGAAATATCCTGTTCTTATTGAACATTACTTCATTTCTTCAGTCTTCTTGTTTTGACTGTGAACTGTTTTTTATTTTCCCAAACAGGCTCCAGCGAACACTGGCAATGTATTTGTGCCGACTGAAGTGGTTATAGCTCTGTGCTATTAATTTATTTTCTTTTGAAGGGTGAGCAAATGTACACTTGTCCCTTGGTTCCTGGTTTTGTTTTATGCTGGCTTTTTGTGTATCTGTCAGGTTGCAAAGGAGTACTGCAAGAAATATGGAAGTGACAAAGTGCGAGTGATATCTTTGGAAAAAAATCAAGGGAAAGGGGGAGCAGTCAGGACGGTAATTAATGCTTTCATCTCCTTCTCTGTTTGAAGTACCTGTGCCCAAATATGCAGAAGATAGAGCTGTGCTGACTGACATTTTGAATTCAATGCATTAACAAATGGATCAGACAAAAACTGAGTACAGATTCTATAAATTAAAGCAAAAATATTTTTCAAAATAAGTTTATTTTAGATCTTGGTAGCAGTGTTGTCTTTCCAGAAAGATCAACAGCGAAGACTTTTTTTAATACAAGAATTCAAAGAGGAAAAAAAATGCTTGAATCTCATATTCATGTTAGTTCTCATGTTTGAATCATTTTAATTCATGTTAGAATCTCATATTCATGCTAGAAATAGGCTTGCATTTATAAAAACCAACCAAAAAAAGTAACCCAAAACTGTTACAGATTAAAGTTAAGCTTTTGTAGAAAAAATAGAGCCAAATTGGCAAACTTCACTCTCCAGGTCATGGCTGTAGTTTTTAACATGGCTGATAAACAAGAACTCCTCCAACAAAGTTTATGTTTACTGAAGCCCACTGCTATCACCCACACTAGATAGTCAAAACAGCACAATTCATGCTTTCATATAGATATTATCATAAAATGAACATGTTCTAAATATGAAATAGCTGCTACACATTTAGAAGGAACATTGTATTCCTACAATGCATGACACCTTGGTTTTCTGAAAAAGGGTGATATCATCTATGGATTTTCAGTGACATATCTTTATTTCTATTTTCAGCTCTATATTTAGTATGTCAATTATTTTTTATGAAACATGAGTAAATATGAGAAATGGAGAAAACACAGTATTAGAACATATGTAACTGTTGTACGAGATACAATTTTGAAGTTATTTCAAGAGAAGGAGAACAATTTTATGTGTGATATACTTTTGCAATGCATCATGTAGAGTGGATGCGTGTACAGTTACTTCCTTAACAGTCTTTTCCAGATGCATACATGCTTGGTTGCAACAGTACTTCTGTCACACCCACTGCTAATTGTTTTCCTGTCTGGACCCCCTTCAAAAATGACAATTTTTTTTCTGACCAAGCATATGGTAACATAAGCTGAGAAACCTGTGCATCACAAGTGTTTTGTAGTGATACTGTCACTTGAGACAGTAGTCTTAAATTAGTTTTGGGAAATTTTGAATTTTCATGAAACAGTGTTAGGTAAAACTCACACTGCATCCTCCTTCCATAGCACACATGAGAAGAAAAGCCGTCCAGTGCAGTGGTAACTGCTAATCACTGCTTCTTTGTGCTCCCCTAGAGCTGACTGTAGCACTTGTTGCCTTTTAGATTTAGGTTTTCCCTGAGGATTGTTAGCCTTTCATGTTCATGCATTGTCTGTCACTCTGGACACTCAGAGCGTGAAGTGTCTAGATGCTATTACCATTTAAATAGGTAAATTACTGTTAGTAGCAGAATATTAAGATTTACCTATTGTATGGAATCTGTGAGTTATCACTGTTGTGATACATAGGATTTTTTAGCGTCTTGCACCTTGCTTATGACAAATAATCAATTTCAAAGGTTTTGATTTTTTTATCGACTATTTTTATTGCAGGGTGTCTTTAGTTCTCGGGGGAAAACAATTCTTATGGCTGATGCAGATGGGGCTACAAAATTTGCAGATATTGAAAAAGTAGAAGAAGGTCTAAAGAATCTCCAGCCATGGCCTGTGAGTATAAATTCTCATGCTTTTACTGCAATACACTTGCATAATTTAATACAAAAGATAGACTTTGTAGTTCTCTTCAAATTTTTTGAGATCCAGTTGAAGATCTAGATGTAAGTCTGAAGACCTAAGTGTAAGGTTAGAAGCCTCAAGAATGGGCTGTCAGAAGGAGCTTTCACTGAGTTCTACCTCCTCTACATTCATTGTGCCTACTCCAAGGCAGTACAGAATGTTCTATTTGCTGTTTATTCTTCCTGCAAATTGTTTGAAGTTGTTCTGTTGTGTATAAATGCCATGTGATGCCTACTTAGTTTTCTTTGTGAACTGTTTTGTTTTTTCATTTTATCTGATGTCATCCTATATACCTTTAAGGGTGCATCTTAATTCCACCCTCTTTTATATAGGTTTTCTTTTCTCAGGGTCCTTAGTTTAATGACAGTATTTGGAAGAACTTTTATTGTAAACAAAAATTCAAAAACCTGTAGAACAAGAATGCCTCCCTGCACAGTCATTCTCTTTTGGGAGCTTGACTTGAAAGAACTGGGGTTTATTTTCTGCTTAAATGCAGATGGGTGAGGTGCTTGTAGCTGGTTTCCCAGAGCGCCAGAAGAGATGTGCAGCCTTCCAGACAGAGCTGTGGGGGCTGTGCCTGTGGAGGGGGCCACAGCCTGTGAGTGCCAGAGCGACAAGTGCAGGACCCAGTGGGCAGCATGTGACCCTGACACTCTTCCCTACCAGGGCTGCAGCAGCTGCTGGTTCTCCAACACTGGCCTCAAATGGAGTGGATTTGAGAGATTTTATGTGGGAAGTAGTGTGAGAATAGTGTTAAACCTTTTGTTTTGATCATGTTGATTTAGTTTGAGATTATATTTTTGGCTGATATAATTTTATTTGGCATTTTATTCATTTGAAGATACATCAGTGCAATAAGTGCTTTAGTCTGTTATTGCTTCCATCGAGCAATTTTTAAGGAAAATGTCCATTTAGCTCCTAGGAATGCTGCATACTTATCTGTACTGCTAACATTTGCCATATGCATAAACAATGTAAAGCTAAAAAAGACCTGAATAAATTGAGGCAATTTGCATGCGCCTTATGCAAATTGTAATAAACTTTAGATTGTCTCTTAATTGTAGAAGACTGATTTAGGCTCAAAACCTAGCAGTAGAAGAAGTGCAGCTATAGGAAGCAGAAAAGTGTGCTGCTTTGAAGTTTTGGTTTTTTTTTTATTTTGTGATTCTCAACACAAGATTCCAATTCAAATAATATTAATTTAAGAAATAACTCTTTAATTTATATTCCTGTATAGGAAGGGATGGCTATTTCCTGTGGTTCTAGAGCTCATTTGGAGAAGGACTCAATAGCAAAGGTTTGTTGCCATTTCATGCTGTGTGCTTATAACCAAATATTTTCCATTATTTGTTTCCGCTCTACAGGTTTTGCAGTTAGATAATCAACATTTTTTAAAAAATGGATGCTAAAAATAAGGAAAAGCTTGTCATGCATGTCTTCAGTCATATACAAAGGATGTGTTCTAGATTGTAGGCACTTTGAACTCATTTTAGTTGGTGTTCCAATTTATGGATTGTATTTTTATAGTTGAGAATATCTCACAAGCAGAGCTTCTAAACCCTGACAAAATTGGTTGCCAGTAACCAGTACTGGGGCTGGAAGGGAAAGCAGCTGATGAGTTCATTATTATTGATTTCCTTCCAGTGCAAGAATTTGGCTTGCAGATCTTGAAACCTGTTTAAAATGAGTTAGGGGTAATTAGCAGCCAGCTGTTTGAAGAGTACTTCTATTCATGGGAAAGTGGTCTAAGTCTTCTGTATTACTCATAGTAAAATTTTTGAGTTTTGAACACACAGACAGTACTGTTCTATGTGTGACTCTTGTGTATTAAACAATGATGCACAGGCACATGGCTTTATCTTGCATCTGATTTTCTGATGTCTTGGCAGACATTAATTGACAAAGCACAGGCATGGAACTTGTATTGCAACAGACACATTGCTGGGCTCATTTTTTAATGTCATTGGAGGTGCTCATCATGGTGAATGTTCTCAGAGAGTTCTCTTTGTTTATACTGATGTTTAGTACTCGAAATTATTCTGAAATATATAAACAACTACTAAAATAGTTACAGAAGATCAGAAAAAGTTACACTGGTAATGTTCAGCCTCTAGTAGATCTGTACTTTTCTTCTGGTTTATGAGATAGTATTGGAGTGGTTCACTCTTTCTGAGTTCTTGCAAATATTGCTGCGTGTATATTAGCATCCTCAGTGCATGCTCAAAGCATCCTCATCCTCAAAAAGAAGCCAAAACCAAAAAAAGAGTTCAACAAGAAAAAAACCTTCATCATTATCAGATACCAGGAACTACTACAGGGAGATTATGTGGCTGATAAAGTGGAGCCCAGAAAAAGTGTTTCATTGCATGGTCAAATACTGGATGTGGACAGACTTTTCTTAGTGCATTCATTTTTCTTGAAGGTCTTGGTACATTAGGGAGAGGAATTGGAACAGGACTTTAATCTATTAATGCAAAAGTATAATTTTTAGGACATGTCCATCTTTGCTTCCTGCTTCTCCCCATATTTCTGAATTTTTAATAGAGTTTAATAGAGAATTTTTAATCACAAACTGGTTAGGTAGTACTGATTTGCTTGAAATGTATAACCCATTTCATTTCATCACCCAGTTGTTCCCTAGACTGGAATAGAAAGACTACCTTTACTATAGTGGGACAAGACTGTTGTATAGTTTAAACAGTATATATATACAGTAGGTATAAAAAAGTTGCAGAGCAATCTTTTAGATGTTGGGATTTCTCTCTGGACTTATTGGCATCTAAAACAGTAGAATGAAGCTGTGATAAGCAGCTGTATTGAACTTATTAAGACCAGAATTTCACCCTTATGTTCAGTCTCAAAACATCAAGAATTCTGGTCTGCCTCCAGAATTGTTAATGTCTTTTAATGAATCTATACTGACTTGCATAAATAGTCTTAGGAGTGATAAGTATAACCCAAGAACTCCTCTTTGTGAAGTAAGTGCAGTTTCACTGTCTGACAATCATGCAACCTCCTAGCTCTTCCCTTCTGGCCCTGGTGGGAGCCTGGTGTTCTTGGTCACAGAGCCAAAAGAGCCGAAGAGGACACACCAGATCCACCGTTAACCTGGGCCAGGAGCACTTTTCAAAAGACACAAGCTATGAATTTGGTTTTCCTTAAGCCAAAGGCTATTACATAATAAGCCAAGCGTCTTCTCTGTTTTTCAAGTGACAGTGTAAATTGTTGACTTTAAAGGCATCTCTTATCACCCAGAGATACATAGCACTTGGATCATTGGCTCCTAAAGATTTTACATGATTTATGGCTTGCAGTCATAGATACAATCACTTAAATTTAGCTTGAGAACATCAGTGAGTTCAGAAGCAATTTTTAGATCACAATTCTAGATCTTTGGGAACTGTCTTGAATAAAAGACTAAGAGGGACCTCTGCACATCCAGACTCCAGCCTCTGGAGTTCATGGACAAATTTATCTGTATAATTATTGTGTCAGGAGCACAAGTGTAACCAACGAGTAGGCTGGGTACATTTATCAGGAATATAAAACATATCCATGAAAGCAAAAAAACAAAAGAGATGACTGTAACATTGCTGGAAATACAAAATGAAGTACCCTACGCAGCAGCCTTTGCTTTAGACCTGGTTTTCACTTGGTCCATTATGTACTTCCAAAGAAGTATATAATGCAGAAGATAATATGGCTGTTCCACTGATTATTTGAAATCCAGGTGCAGGTTCCTGCTTTACTTAATAAGGCATAATCCAGAGTGAAAAACTGTTTTGAAGCGGAGAGAGGAGAAAAAGGAACTTGGATTACTCCTATCCTAGACTATACACATGACTGGCAAGTCTTTCTCTAGATGAAGATATTTCCCTTTCAGCCAAAATTTTGTTTGTACTGTAACAATTGGTAAGTTCTGTTTTCATTCCAGTGCATAAACTTTGAAAGCTATGACAAAACAGGGTTACTGTCCTGTAAGACACCTCTCTTCAAGTACTTCACTCATCACTCAAATAAAACCACCTAACTTCTTGCCATTTGTCCACAGCGCTCTTACTTTCGAACTCTCCTCATGTATGGGTTCCACTTCCTGGTGTGGTTTCTCTGTGTCAAAGAGATCCGGGACACACAGTGTGGATTTAAACTTCTAACCAGAGAAGCTGCCTTGCAGACTTTCTCAAGGCTTCACATAGAACGCTGGTAAATTGTTCCTTTTTTTGTTGGTGTTGTTTTTTTATAATTGAACATGCGTTTGGAAAAGCAATTTTAGTGTTGCAACTATGATGAAGCATGTGATGTCTGTGTATACATCCCAGCTGCTCATTTTAGCCAATTACAGTATTGCCTGCATGGCAGCTTCGATTTCTTGTTATGTTAAAGTATCCTGGTAACTGCTAGAAATTCTATGTTCTTATTAAGATACATTGTAGGAAAGTAGTTGGGTATTTAATTTTATTCTTTATTTAATTTTATCCTCTTTTCTCAAAAGATATATGTGATCCTAGGTAGGATATATTGGTTTTGCCTTCTCATAGGAAATGATAATTGATTAGAAAAGAGGAGAGGGGAAAAAAGAGGAAAAAGGCCTCAAACAAATAAAAATCCCAGTAACTCTTCTTTCTTCACCTCCAGAAGAAATTTCAAACAAACAAATTTTCATGGTGCTGTAATTCACCCCCAGTTTCTGAGTCCTCTCTCTTTTTACAGATACAAGCCATGCAAGCAGAGTAAGAAATGGAGAGAAACTGTTATTATGATAAGGAAAGTTAAGAGTTATTAATCATATTCAAAACTCCTATCAGTGTTATTTTTTATACATTACAATTCAGTAATGCTTAACCAAAGCATTTTATGTAAAATCAATATCTGATAAGGTGTTTATAATTGCTGAGGACTCTAAAGTGAAAGCAAATGCTTATTCTTTACTTTCTTTCTTGTTAATGTATTTTATGTGAGGAACATTGACAGATATCTTTAATTTAAGACGACTGAAAATTATGTGTGGTCTTTTAGTTACTTTACAGCTCCTTTAGTTGTGATTTAGCTACAACAGTTCCCATATGTTAATGATACTGCCATGGCTACTATTATGAGATTGAAACACTGCACAAATACCATAATTTCTGTAGATATTCTATGCCACAATTTTTTCTAAAAAGGATAGTTTAATTAGGTGTAATCAAACCTCTTGAAACAATTGTCTTCTTTCAAGAAAATCTGTCATGTGCTTCTGCTTGCTTGACAGGGAACAGAACTGCTGAACAATGTTCCCGAGCACAAACATGTGCAATCCTACAGCCCTAGTCAATTCCAATGTGTATAGTTTTAGGCTGAGATTTGACAGCCATACTGCCCCTCCAGACTTCAGTTGCAAAGGTCGTGTTTGGGCACAAGAATCTCATGTGGAATGTAGAGCTATTGTTGCGTTGAATCTATAACTGAGCAGTCAACAAGTCGGAAAATCACTTTCCCACCTGAGTGGTTTGCTTATTGCCCTAAAGGAGGCTACAGCTGAGCCAGAAGTATGATTTGTGCTGCTACCTCCAAACCCGATCTTGATCTATAAAGCTCTGTAAGTTTCATATACAGGCATTTTCTGAATACTAATAATAAATGGTTAAACTCATATGCGAGGCCCAGAAGTGCACATCTCGAAATTGCTTTATTTAACTTCATTTTATAAATTAACACTTCAAGAAGAAAACTGAAAGAAGAAAGTGAGGATAATCAGTTTCAGCTGTAAAAATTCAGTCTTAAATTTTATTATTTTTTGAACTGAAGGATTTTTTTGTAATTTGACATAAAATGTTATATAAAATGTTTTCTAGATAAAAACAAGCTTTCTTCTGCCACTTCAATTATCTAGCACCAAAGGAATGAAAGAGTAAAAACAATTGTGATGTACCCCATTATCCAGGAATAGAAGCAATGAAAAAAGGGATATTGTTAATATTTTATAGCAATTATATCGTTGGTGTGGAACATACCAGATCCTCATGTCTTAGTTCATTGTGCCTTCTATTCTTGCTGTTTTATCTACAGTAATCTATAAACTAATCCCTTGTGTATTTTCTTATTTATCTGAAATGTGCTGGTTAGTCATGAAGAATGCTTGTTTTGTGTGGCAAGAAAAGAAAACTCAAGTTCTTCCAAGAAAGAAGCTGTTCAAATAATTCCAAGTCACAAATTTGCCTAAAACAGCTTTAGGTTTTTTGGGTTTTATAAAATTTGGTTTACTTCTGCACAAACTGGCAATTGTCTGGTTTCATGCTCATCTCTCAATCAAGTCTCTGTGTTTACCCACCTTCTTTTTTATATTTATAATTTAAACCAAATCTCACAGAACAGCTGGGGAGAGAAACTCAGATTATTGCCACTGCTGAAGACAAAACCCTATAGTAAGGTCTCAAAAGTTATTTTCTGCTCCACAGCTAGTAATTTAGCATCTGTAACTGGAAGATAGCATGTCAGTGCACAAATTGAGTGTTGTTCCTTTCCCAGTTATTATTCATAAGATCTGGAAATGAACTGGGAGATGGGAAATATAAATATGTGGGGAGAGTGCATATGTTCAGGGAAATTATAGTCCTAAGTGAAATGTCAGTGTTGTACAAACAGTTGGGATAATTGCAATTGGAAATTATATAGGGACATCAAGCATTCATCCCATAGCATTAGATTTCTTTGTATATAATTGTATAAGAATCTGAAACAGCTCAATGCTGGATACTTCTTATTTTAAGCAAATCTCGCCCCAGGTATTTTTCCATTGCATGACATGTGTAAAAAGGAAAATACAAACTGGTTAGACATTGTGCCATAGAGGATCTGTGCATATCATGAGTATGGAGACAGAAGAGTAAGAAATAGTAGTTGGAATTGTACTTCTGCTGACCCGGAACAATGTGGAGTCCCCAGCTGGGTCATAGAGCAACTTGTTCGTACTGAAACCATCAGCAAGGGGTAGCAGAGGAGCTCTTATCTTGGTACTGGATAAGAGGCTCTGAAATCTGGATTTATTTCCTCTTACTGCGTCACTGCGCTGGGGCTACTTGACATCCAAAGAAATTATTTGATTCTCTTTGAATCATAAAATCCAGCAAGTGGGATGCAGCTCTTTTAGGTATTTGAAGGAGTGTTCAGTTCCATGTGGTCAGTGCTCAGATGTTCTGGGAATAATGCAGGAGGGTGCTGGAATTTAATAGGATAAAAGCCATCTGAGTTAAGCACCCTGGTCCTTGAGCTGGCCGTGGGCCCCCCAGCTGCTGCACTGGAACGTGTGGTGAGCTGCTGAAAGGAATGAACACCAGGCTTCTGCACAAACCAAATTGTCCTGTCTGCTCAAGCTTAGTCAAGCTTGGATTTGTGGGGGTACTACAGTGTTAGGTGAATGCTTATTAAAAAGACTAAAATTGATGCATAACATGTTTACTCATTAATGTTATACAAAAGTACTATAAAATCAGCTATCTAATAATTCCCACCTGCTTAGATCCTCACTTCTTTCTGCTTTCACCATGCTTTTTCCATTCCAGTGGGCATTGATGTGAATATCACCTCTTTAATACTAAAAATACTAGAAGACAGACCAGATATTACTTGCTGTGATTAATTTGATTTATAGGTGCTTATATTTAGGAAATCTTGAAGCTGAAGCATACAAGGAAAAATACAGTTTTATCATTACGGCAATAAGTGTCATGTAACACTTCTTAAAGAGAGACCAAGATATTCCCTAGAATATTGTTCTAATCTAACCCTAAATTTTAGAAGGCATTTGAAAATTAATAGATTCTACAACTGTTTATATATCCAATACTTACATCCTAAACTGGCTTTTTTTGGTGAGTGTTCTCATTGTCTTTTTTATTTAACTATCCTTTGGCTGCGTATATATGAGTATAAATGAAACATTCTTGAAATTTACTTTCTAAATGGCGAAGTTTTGACATTAGTTTGAAATGAAAGCAACCTTTTGAACAGAGAGCATATGCTTTGTGTTTTAGATTCTGAATTTGATTACACAGATAATCTGTTTTTCAGAAATGTATGGAGCAGATTTTTTAATCTAAAACTTAAATGAAAATTAAAAGATATTATAAAAACATAACAGAGACAGAATTACTCACTTCAGGCTATAAAAGAAGATCTAGTTCTGCATCTATAGTCTTGACCTGAAAAATGTAACTGTTAGTGTTAAATTTTGATGCACAGGAGAAATACTGGAAAATTAAATGGTCTCACTGGCTGAGTTTTCCTGTCCTAAATTTGATCATTGATTTCTTCTAACAACAAAAAAAAGATAAATTTTCTTCCTGCCAGAAAATGTCTATCCTTAGAAGAACTAGACGTAGCAATTACAGTCCTACCTTTATGATAAAAGGAGGTGAAATTCAAAAATGTAGTTCTAGTTCTGGTTTGATTGGCATATTTTTGTGAAGTGGCAATTTATGATGACATTGTACAAGTCAGCAGATCAATGAAGAGATCTATATAGATTTTATCTATAAAAATTGCCTTGTGCACTGAACAAGGCATGCTGTTGCACATTTAAAACAGGGAAAGATCAATGTAAAAAAAATGGGTTTTTTCTCCAGTTTGTCACTAATCTCTAAATATGAGTTGCTACATAAAAGTTACAGGAAAATAAGCATTCATATTGCTGCAGGGATTTTTTCCCACCTTTATGCCATTGTAGACCAACACAAGCAGTGGAATGAATTGGTTTTTTTCCTGGTTTTGGGCATGGCAAGTAAAATTGTTTATGAGCATCTAGTCAACGCAAAAATATTTTTGCTGTTTTAACTCTGTTTTGTCTTTTTAAAAGTCCTGCTCTTGTCTGACACTTGGTCTTTCAAAAGCCCAAGTTCAGCTAGGGCAGTTCTGGCAGTCTAGCCTACTTGGCATCCTGTTTAATTGTTAGATCTCTTTGACCGTTCGCTGTTTTCTTTGCCTTTAAAGAGTTTCTTGGAAAAACATATCTTGGATGTACAAAACTCGTAAATTCCAGCTAAAACATTATAGCTGAAGGCCTAGTTTTATTGGGCCTGAAAGAGTCCTAGTGCAATTTTAAAATACAGAATAATTTTTAAGGATAAATATTTTATAAGCTCAAGCATCTTAAGGATTCAGTTTAAAAAGACTGAATTCAATTAAACACCTACCAACTTGGTTTTCAAATTAATTGTCTTAAATTGTAACTTAACCAAAACACAACTACATGAAGAATTTTTTCTTTACTTTACAATACATGTTTGTGGTAATTAGCACATCATGGAGCCACTACTAGAAATAGATGGGGAAATTGTTCACACCATAGATATTTGGCTATCTAACTCTGGATACTTAGATTGGAACCTGAATTCTTTCAGGCAGGAGACACATTTGGGTGTTCTGAGCTGTGTGCCCCCCTCCCAATAGGCTGCAGAATGAAGTACATGGTGTGAATTATATCTTGCTGTTTCTGAGGGCTGTTTTGTCACAGGTTAACTGCTCACAAATGGCTTTGTGGCAAATCACATGAATTGCACTTACAGCTCATCTGCTGGTGTGGCTTTGATCTCCTCTAGGGTAGACTCCATTTAACACACCCAAGTTTTATCCTGGCTGTGGGAGCTTCTGTGTGGTTCTCCCGTACCATCTGGATCTGGTGGTCTGCAGTATGGCTGCACTGCTGTCAGTGTATTGAGCACACTGCAGTCTGTATTTCCTGACTAACCATTCTGGCATACTGAGAGATGGTGGGGAAAAGAAATGAAAAACAATAACCTGGTGGTATTCTACTGAAGTCATTCTCCTTTCAGCTTTGAATAGTTTTGGGTTGGTTTTTTTTCTGTTTCAGGATATGTTCACTGTTACCCAAATGGCAACCACATGTAACAATATTAGTGTTCAACCTGATTAATTCCTGTGCTTTTAATCTCTTACTTTAAGCCCTGTAGTTCACAGAACTATTTAATGTTCTGTGATGTATGTGCTGACATTCCAGTAATCAGTTGTCCACAGGAATTATTGCAAATAACTATTAGTTCACTAGGCTAATAGTTTGTGTAATACTTTTAGAGCAGCTCATGCAGTCTAATTCATCAGACAATTATTTTGCGTCTCTTAAGATTTTTAGTCATTTAAGTAAGTATTACAAAATTAGATTTAGTCATAATACACATGATTCATAAACATTCAAAGGTGAATACATTGGGTTTTTGGCTTACAAATGTAAAATGTCAGCAAAAAATTAAATACTACCTCTTCAGTAGAAGAGACTATGGAGTGATTAATAAAATAATATTCAACCCTCATGTAAAGACCGCAGTGAAATGACAGGGCTGCTTGGACCAGATTTAGTTCACTGAGGTAAAACAAGAATTTATTATTGTAACTTTTTTTGTCACAGTGAGAAGGCCTGTGTCCTAATCAAAGTCAGATTTACAAAGCAGCTCTAAATTCCCTATACACAATAGCTGTAGCCTCTGTAGATAACATCTGTCTGTACTACCTTTGCTTGTTTTAGTGCTGTCCCGTGTGGAATCAGTGGCTCTCCTGTCACATACACGGAGAGCGCAAGTCCAGGTCTGTGTGTGTGCCTGTGATTCCAGCAGCAAGCCATCCTGCTGTGGTCTGTAATTCAGTGGGGTCCTACCTGTGTGTGTCAGACCTACATGCACATTTCAGAGTGGACTGCTGCTGTTGCATCCAGTAATAGCTTTACAGAAATGCACTGTTTAAAAGGAGAAGGTGGCTTGAAGTAGAAGAAAATAACATCTGAACTTGGCAAGCGACCTGCTAAAGTATGTTTTCTATCTGTTCTTGATCACTTTGTCCCTTTCCATTTTTCTCTAGTGTTAACTGGAATTACCAAAAACATTAATTTTTGCAACCCTCTAAGCATGAATTAATCATTTTCTGGTTTTTTTATTGCATACGTTCCCTCCAGTGGCAAAATATTTTCTTTCATTTCAAAAGAAAACTGTCTTGGATTTAGCAATGAGAATTTAAGGCAAATTATCAGAATCTTCATAATTGTGATTTGTGTTCAACCCTGTCAATAGTAGCTACTGGCATCTTCATATGCTGATTTCTAAACGAGCATTAAAAGCTGCCGAACTACTTGTTGCATATCAAAAGTCTGGTGTTTCAGAGCCAGAAGGCCTGCTTGAGAATGCATTTACATGAATGAAACACACAGACAATTCTCTGTGCAGAGAACTGAGAAGATTAAGGTGCATTCTGGACAAAGTGAATAGGAAAAAACACCTGACAGAGCAGGATTACTGCCCAAATTCATTTTGCTAAACAATCTGCAAAAAGTTGTGCCAACAAAAATGACAAGTTTCTCAAGAGGGTTCTTGTGCATTAAGTGGTCACTAAACTGTTTGGATTCTGTTGTGCACGGTAAAATAAATAATTTTTCACTTCTATACTGCCAACTTGAGTTCCTTTACTGAGAAAGTAAAAGTAGCGCCCATCAGATCAGCATAAAGCCACAGCAGGTAGATGTCCTCTTTTATGAAACTACTAGAGATGTGGAGTGACGCTGTACATTTGACTGCTTGGTCTTCATGGTCTTCAAAAATGTTTAAATTGTGTTTGTAACAGAAGGAGAAGCAAGTAGTGGGCTGAACACAGAGTCATCTATGCCTTCAAGTACAGATTACAGAGAAGTATTGTTGTTGTTGTCTGTATTTTGGCTGTGTTCTGAGATGTTTAGTCAGGAAAATTAATTTCCCATCCATGTGTATCTGACCCATAGAGCATTGTTATCAATTACATAACTGAACAGTCATTTAATTAACATTTCCACTGTCTTTCATCTGGGAGTATGTTGATTATATTTGGTATTTCATGTTCTTCTTCAGGGCTTTTGACGTGGAACTTCTTTATATAGCCCAGCGCTTGAAAATACCTATAGCAGAAGTTGCTGTCAACTGGACTGAAATAGAAGGTAGGGAGATAGTTAATGTTCTTACAAGATTTCTGACATGTCAATCCAGAATAACTGATCCAAGGTTATTGCCCTATTTACCTGGTTTTGGTAGCACACAGCCTTCCTTCCATACAAATTCTGAATTTCATATCCTTGCCAGCCTACTGCCATGGCTTGGTACACAAAGAGTGGGTGAAAGGGTAGCATGGCAGAGAAACTCTGCAGTCCTACTGGAGACAAAATAAGGAATTACAGTGCTAAGACAAAACACTACTTTGGCATGTCTTCTTGCTGTAATGTGTTAATAAATTAGTGCAATTGTAAACCACTTTGCAGGGAGTCTGACGATCATCACTTACTGATTCAATTCCATTTCACTGTTATCTTGCCTTCCAAAAATCTCAGCTATTAAGGCTTCCCCTAGAGCACCATCTCTTCTTAAGATGTGATACTGTTTCAGACCTGCTCAGACCAGGAGGTCTCTGCCACTGAATTACTGTGAAGTATAGCTCCCTGTGTATTTCTTCAGTGCAGAACCAGCTTGAGAGGTACTGCTTGCTTTGGCTCACTTCCCCCACATCAAATGCAGTTCCTCTATTTTTTTGCCCTTTTCATGTTTTTTATATATTTTTTAATCTCCTCAGTACAACTTATGGACATGCCCTGAGCCAACTTTACTAGAAATGTTTCCTTTCAGTTCAGTTCCATGTGTTTATTGCACCTAACACAAATATTAGCAGAGATGGTAGAAGGCTTGGTTTTGTAGTGTGGGTTCCTTGCCTTGCCTGAAGATTGGCGCCTTCATATTATTGTTGTTAGACAAGCTGGTGGTCCTCTTCTCCAAACTTTCTAGATAAATCATTTGCTTAGTTATTGGTGTTCAGGTTCCTATTTACTTGAACAAAGCCTTGTCATGGAGAGCACTGCACATCTTGTCACATACATGGAATTACTGTGCTGCTTGCAAACTAGAGTGTCCCACCTGTGGCATAATGGAATACTATAAAGCAATTGCTTTCAAAATACATATATTTTTATTAGTTTTAAAGTCTAGGTTGTGGGGCTGAGTGAGCTGAGAATGCAGAGGTTCATGACTGCTTAAATGCGAGTCTTGCTGGTGCTCATTTTTTTCCTAACAATGTCATTCTGATTTTCTTCTTCATTAATCACAGGTTCTAAGTTAGTTCCCTTTTGGAGCTGGCTGCAGATGGGCAGGGATCTTCTTTTTATACGACTGCGATATATGACTGGTGCCTGGAAGCTTGAAGCAAAAAAATGTAATTAGGTTATTTACATTTTCCAAATATATTATTATGCTTAATGGAACACAAGAACAATTTCAATCAAGTGAAGTGGTGGTGAAAGCTGAGGTAATTCTTCATTGCTCCTCTGTATGTTTCATTTTTGCAGCATGTATGTGTTTTATAAGATTGTCAGAAGAGAATTTCTACGTTTTGAAAAGGAAAGCATTTCCAAAAAAGTTTTCTTACATGGTAATGAGATTTTTATTTTATTAAATAGTAGCCTTAACGTTTCTTATAAATTCAGTCAAATAAATATATCTGCTTTTGTCTCATCATCCATCTGGAATCTCCTTATACATATTAGAAAGAGGCACTCTGTTCGATATTGTGCAATGTTCTGTTGTGAATGACCACAGCCATTCGTTTCTGTTGTATCTGGAAATGTTAGGACATATTGCAACTTGGAATTATCATTCATTGTTCACGCTGATGCATGTTTAGATTCAATGTTATGGGAAACATTATTGGATTTTACTGAGTTACAACAGTAATGTTCATAAAGTTGTTCTCAGGACTTCCAGTAGTCCCTTGACATTCCAAATGTTTTTGTCTGAAGCTGAAATAGTTTGCCTGAGATCAAACTGCAGATCTTTTCCTGACTGTAGAAGGTCTGAGAGAAAGCAATTTAATTTTAAAATGTCTTTTATAAATGTGTTTTGCTCATACATACTTAGTAGTGCATGCTCAAGGCTAGGAGTCCTTGGCATCTACAGATCTGTAGTGAAAAGGGTATGGAAAGCTCAGAACATGCAAAAGTGAGACCCAGCATACACTGGGGACCTGTGCATTAGTAATGTCAGTGTGATGTTGTCATGCTTCAAATGAGATCAGAGACAGAGGGAGGGTCTTGACTCTTTCATACTAATGTCACACTGCATTACAGTACAGTAACAGTTTTATTTGTGCTTTCAAAGTAGCTGTGAATTGCCAACAAACTAAGCCAATCTGTGTTTCTGGAACTTGTACAAATTTGAAAAGCTTTAAAAAATGAACAGTGTATAGTTGTACTTTCACACGTGAATTCACTGGTGATTTTTCTTATTCTTTCTGTAATACTGACTTGAGTTTTGCTTCTGTTAGGGTTACCTCAGTTTTCTATAAAGTGCTGGAATAAATTCTCAAAAAATATATTCGGTTTGACTTCACAGGCTTTATTCTCTTACCTTGTCCAGATACATTTCTGTCACCTCTGCAGAATCAATCAAGACTCCTCATTGCCATTTCTAGAATAAAATACCAGCTCTTCAGGACACTTGCTACAGTGCGGATTCACAGAAACAGAGAATATTCTGAGTTGGAACAGACCTATAATGGTTGTATTCCCTTTCGGTGGGGATAAGAGCTGAAGCTGCAATATAAAGAGCTAACTGAGATGGAAGAAGAATGGGGAGAAATAGAAAAGGAGAATTATCTGTGGCTGAGGTTGAAAGCCATAGTGGAATGGAAGCCATAGTGGAAATGGAAGATTTACTTTAGCTGAGAAAGATGGTTGGCTTGGCCTTCTGTCACTCATGCAGCAGTCAGAAGTCTTCTGGGTAGCAAACTCATCTCCTAGGCAGTTATTGCAGATTAGGAAATACAAGACACACAGGCAGTACCGGGAGACCAGGACTTAGCACACACATGCTCTAAAAAAGCATATTTTAGACTCACATTGCATTTAGATTTTTGCTCTGCTCTCCTGTGTGTTCTTTCAGGCCCAGCACACCTCAACTGTTGCACAGCAGTCCCAGAATAAGGGAAAGATTCTCCTGGGTTCCATTTCAGAAGCAGATGTACTGGTTTAGTGGCACAGAGCCATAAAGAGGAGTATTCCTGCCCCCTCTCTACGCATGTTGTAGGGCTGGTTAGAGTCTCCCGAAGGCTGGTTCAGCTCACTAGAATGGCAGGATGCCATCTTCTACATGCCTGCTTTTTTTTCCCCCCTGTCTTCTGAGATAGTTTTCTATCATTTCAGTGATCTAAAATGACTCCCTGCATGGTCTAGCAGGCAGAGGGTGCAGCAGCAAAAGGAGAGCTTCCCCCTTTCCTAGCTGCGAACTTACCACAAGTTTGTAGACTGACTTGTCACCTGGAGGCTAGTACACTGTCCAAGGGCAGGAAAAGTAATTTAAAATTCCACCTTTTTAAAGCCTATACAAGACCTGAGGTCTTGTTGCTGCCTCAAAATGAGACCTTGAATTACTGAGCTCCATCAGAAAGATTTGACTCTGGCTCTTGATGTGTTCCAGAGAGCCCACTTCGTTTTACAAAGCGATACACCATGAAATGGGAGGTTTGAGTAAAATGTTTCAGTCATTCTTAGTAGGAAAAAAGCTGATTGATTCACATTTGATACAGGCCTGCTTAATTGCAGAGACTGTGTGGAGAACTAAGTGCCTCGGATATAAACAAAGAACCTCCCTGATCACCAAGGCTGTCATTCAAACCAGTGCTCTGCCTAACTTGTCCTCATGCTTCTCTGTAGAGTTGCAGTGATACATTTATTTGTATTCAGTGGAGTCTTAACTTTTTCTGTTTCTTCCCAGCCTTGCATTTGCAGGGGTGACCTGCAGGAGGTGAAAGTCTTCTATATTACTCACTGTCCTGACCCAGCTCTCCAAAGACTCAAAAGTATTCTCACAGACTGTGAAAAGAAAATAAAAACAAATAGAGAAAATCTACATGGCAATTCTGCAACATTCTTACCAACATCAATGGCTGTATAGGCAGTGCTTTTATAAATAGAGATTTCAATTTTTAAAGAAATTATATCTGCATAAAAACCTTACTTTTCTGCACCACTTTACTAATACTTCACAAGAGATTTTTTTCAAAAGGTGACAATATTAAAGAGTCCTATTTGAAAAACACATGCAAAAAAAAAAAGTTACTAGAAAATGTTCAGTAGTTTACACAAGTTTTCTGTACTTTTACTATTTTTTATCACAACCCAAACCACTAGACATACAATATCCCTTGATACACACTTAGCTTTTATCCTTACAAGCTATTTTTTTGAACTCAGGTTTTAAATATCAATTGGGAAAACAGTAAAAAATTTACTTTTACTCTCAGGCATGTCTGTGGATATGCAGTATGTTTTCTGTGACAGCTCAAAGTTCACTGCTGAGAAGTATAAGCAGATAAACATAGAAGATGGCACCAGTTTGTTCTGCAGTATTGTATTCAGTAATACATCAATTTGCAATTCTCAAAGCTTCTGTGCAGACCCTTCCACCACCAATGTCCAGGTTAGGTTTTCACCATGGGAAATAAAATTATAGCATTATGTGTAAGTACAGCTTGTATTTCCAAGCCATGGAATAATACCAGCCAGTATTTAACTTGAATTCTCTGCTAATGTTTAAGGCTCTGGAGACCTATCCATAATTATTTATGTACCTATTGTCCAAGTGTTCCTTGAGTTCACAGTCATAATGCTAACTGCACACTAAAAATAGTCAAAACGAAGAGACAGAAGGCTGCAATGAAGTTTCTGTATCTTAGTGTTTATTACTTAAAATAACATCTAACATTATTTATGGTCCGTGTGTGTTTCTTAGGGATGCAGTGGCATGTCTGTAATAGCTCAAGGGGCATGAATTAAAGTAGTATTCCAGCACTGCAGGAGGCTGCACCCTGCCAGCTGGACCATAAGTTATCTACCTCTTTGGGATAGAGATTCAGAGGTTAAGAATGGGATGGTACCAAGTCATGCCTATTGCTTTATCCAACAGCACATAAGGGAGTCTTAAGCACACAAGCCCAAGGGGTCATCAAGGCTCAGGGGAGAAGCTACAGACAAACCTTTGTTTCTTACTGGGAAAGGAATTACATTTTCATATGACCAAGAATTAGTAATAGTTGTGAGATCATAGCCGAGAGGGGTGTGTTAGAATATGATTTCATTTAAGATATCCATCAGAAAAGAAAGGGCTAACTGGCCTCCATTTCCCTCAGTTTTTTAATCTACTTAACTTTTCATTCATGGATCTGTCTGTTCAACTGCCCTGGCTGCATAATTAGATATTACCTTGGTGTAAAAAAGGAACTAACAAAACCTTTCCAGTCCCACTTACTGGGCTTAGTGTTCCAAGTACCAGAACACTCTTGGGTGTTCAAGAAACAGCTGCAAACCAAGCAAACATGCTTCCAAAATGGCTTAGCCACAGGTGATCCTTCTTACCTACATGACCTTAACTCCCCCTCAGGTACATCCCTTTGCATCAGTCAGGCTCTGCCTTCTTTGGTTCTTCATGCTCTGCTCTCAAGATCACTTTCCTCCACTGGATTTTCATCAATTTGTTGTTTTAGCAGAATGAACTTCAACATTGAGACTGAATCCAAGCCTTTGTTGCTGGCACATTCTATGCAATAGTCTTGAAGAATGAGGTGACATGAACTCTGGCATTCCCATCTGGTTTTTGCCATGTTTTGGTGTTTCATCTGAGGTTATTCTAGAGCTGTGTAAAGATCCTGTTACAAAACAGAGAGATATATTGAGTGTCAGCTTTTGAAGTGGAGATCAGAAGAGGTACTTGAACCACAGAATGATAAAGAATCATGGATTTCTGCAAACAGTTTTGGCAAATTCACTTTGCCTTGTCTCTGGAAAGCAGCCTTCCACATGTGGGACTAATCCTTATCTTTCTATCTTTGTAAAGTAGAGAAAGGTTCAGCTAATTATGTCAAGGACAGGCTTCACCGTGTAGCCACACTACAGCCTTAGTTGCACAGGCTGTCATAAACTACCCAGTGAATACTCTCAATCATCTGCTGTCAAACTAGGAGAAAGGTCAAAACCACAAGGAATTTGTAGCTCTTTTTGGCTGACTAGGTCCGCCATTTAAGGTCTCAACAACAAAACTGCTGATAACTTCCATATCTTACTGCCAAAAAACCAAAAACCAAAACCATATCCATGGCCATCTTCCAGTGTTTAAGCCAAGTCATATATTTTGGAAGTGGTAATCAACTGCATCAGCTCTCCATTTGGTTATTATACAAGCCTGGATAGCTTCTGCCCCAGTAAAGGTTTTGTGATAATGAAAGATGAAACACAGATGAAGTTAGAACAACCTTTAATGGTTTTCAATCAAACAGTAAAATTCTGGTCTCACAAAAATTTTTCTGATGTTATGTTTAATTTTACCATTTTTGACAATTTATTTTCTCAATAAAATGCTTCGTAAGAACAAGAACAGAATGAAAAATAGCTCATTTTCTGCAGGAGTACTGTAAGGGGGCTACACAAAGGACAAATACAAAAATTATTCTCATAAAGGAGACAGCAAGCAATTTCATTCCAGTATTTTGCTAGAAAGCTAGAAAAAAAGAATGGTTGCTTGCACAAGAATATATTAGATTTAAGCAACTTCTGCATGCACTACTCATGTTTTCATGTACTGCCTCAATTTCCATGACACTTCCGAAATTCTTGCACCCACACTCATATCTGCACATATTATGGCATGAGAAGAAATCTGGACTTTTTCAGTTCACTTATCAAACTAATTAATTACTGAAAAAGTCTGTTTACCAAAATGAATAAATAGAGCTAGACAACTTAATAGAGCCATTCATCTTTAAGTATTAAACAAAGAATAAGGAATGCTGTGATTTGTCAGATCCTACAGAAATACTGCAGGGTGGAGATGTTACTCATCATTTTGTCTCCATGTGTAATGTTTCTCTTTCCTATACTTGCCAGTGCCTTCCTAAGCCTCATGAGAACCAGGGAAGAGCTAACGTCATATCCTGGACATCCCCTTTTCCAGAAAATAGAAGAGGGTCATGATAAAGTCTCACATGCAGGGTACACCTGAACAATCATTCAGAGGCAAAAGAATGGGGTTTTATCTTACACTGACAAGACTGAAGATAGGAAAAGTCAGTGTAAGGCCCATTCCATTCCCTGAAACCATGGATGCTCTGCCTCCAATACTGAAAGGTTTTGGAGAAAGTTGTGGGGGAAGAGTGGTCTTCCTTGTGCACCCCTACACAAAGGAATTTCAGGAGTGCCTTGAACAGACCTGCGAGGTTACAAGAATCTAATTTCATATGTAATTATTTCTCTGGGTTGTAAAATAATTAAGCATTCTTTCTATTCCTGGCTACTCCTTATTTACTCAAGATTTTAGAGTAAA